GGCTCACTAGGAGCTCTGAGGTGGCGTCGAGTGGGCTGTGCTGTGTCCTTTAGATTGTCCCAAGTTGTCTAACCACTGGAAAGGAAACAAATGCAAGTGTGGTCTGTGGCCAGGCACTTTATCTGCGGGCTCAGAGAACTTGGACCTTGGAGCCTAACGGGGAGATCACAACCCCTTTGTTAATTATTAAACAGCAGGTCTGTAGCTGTTTGGAAGTTCACAGACACTTAGTGGTTTATGCCTGATGGTGGGGTAATGGGGCCTAGCTTCTGTATTTATGAAATGGCTGACCCCAAATTGAGTAATTTTTCCCAAGCATGAATTACTGAATGATCAGAGCATTAATTCTGTATTAAGTTTCTGAAACACTTAATTTATGTTGTGCTTACAGAACTGGTGCTTACAGAACTGGTGGAACATCAGTCATCACAAAAGGCAAACAAGCAGGTAAGACACGGAAAGTACCAACCTGGACCCTTCCAGGGAAATGGAGAGTGGAGGACAATGGAGAAGAGTCTATGTCCCCCTGATATTCCAAACCACTGCTAGGATATTTTAGTCGTGCCTGTGGGTTGGGATTGATGAGTTTGTTTTTGGTTGCTTTTCTTGTCACTGTGTCAAACCCCTGACAGAAGCAATTTCTAAAGGAGGAAAGATCTGTGTGGATCGCAGCTTCAGAGGGCTCAGTCCTTCATGGCATGGCAGAGAGGCTCCATGGTAGGAGTGTGGTCAAGCGTCTTACATGGTGGCCAGACCAGGAAGCAGAGAGCCAGATGGAGTCAGAGGCAGATATGTCCTCCTACACTTCCTCCTACTGGCCTATGTCCCCAAAGTTCTGGAATGTCCCCTAAACAGTCAAACCAGGAAACTGTGATGAGCCTGTGGGGGACATTCCAGAGTTAAATTGTAGCAGAGTTCTCTTGCAGAAAGGTAAAGTTGCTCTGCTTTGGTAAAGTAGGAGTCAGCTCCTGGCATTTCCCAAAATCATTTGTGTTCAGCAAATTTCTCAAAGTGTCTGTCATGGTTTGTGGTGTGAGTGAGCAAGGCCAACGCAGAAGCTCCTACCCCTCCCAGAGTGAGTCGTGTCTGCAGAAGTGAGCACAGACCTGCTTTCTTTTCTCCCGGTGAGTGAAGGGCTTGTAGCTTCTATCTACCTAATTGATCAATAGATCGGGTGTCCTGATGGTTTGGCTTTGGTACACAGCCAAAGTGATGGTATGCTGGTTTGTGCTGGTGTATTGATGTATGTGTCTGTGAGCGTGCCTCTGTGTGTGTGTGTGGCTTCCCAGGAAGCCTCCGTCAGCTCCTGGACAGCTTTTGTAATCTTTGCTTTGATCTCCATTCTGAGGATGGAGCTCTCTAACGCCAGGTGGAGGAAGATGTTTCTAACCTGTGTCCATGATGTTTGCAGTGGAAAGATAAATAGTTCATTGTTCTCTGTTCAGAAACTGAGCAGATCCAAGTTGCTATGGTGACAGGTTTTGTATAAAAACACCCACCTTTGAACCTCTTTAAGGGATGTTGGCAGTTTGATTGTTGGGATGTGAAATGGCTGACCTGCCAGCTGGTTTACTGTGTTGGCTAGAAATAAGAGAGTATAGAATTAGAAGGGAAATTTGTGCTACAGTTGTGGTGAAAAAGGCTGAAGCTGCTTCTGCGATGTTTGTGCTTCTCTAGAAGACTTGCTGGTCTTCTCCTGTGTGACCCTAGAGCCTGTGGAGCTCTTCTGTGGTCTTTTGAACATGCCTGTACCACGTGCCTACAGGCTGCCCATGTTAGACCATTTCCTCATGTACAGCCTTACTGAGGCATCTCCAGCTGTGCCTTCCCGTGTGACTCATGTCTGCAAAGGATGAAAGAAGACTTTCCTGGCAGGAAGCTCGGTGCCGAGCAGAAAAGTGACCATTGTTAGAAGAAAAATTTTTGAAAAACCAGAGTTTTTAAAAGTCCGTCAAGAAGAGCTGGACCAGAAGTGATCTGCAGGGTTGCCTACACATCTGGGAAGTAAGTCAGGACAAGAAGTGGGAAAAGGTCGAGCGAGAAGCTTGTCACTCAAGACTGGCTGCAGATGTGGGAAAGAGGCAGGGCTGGCTGGGCTTAGAAACCACTGGAAACTCTCACTCATCCCACACAGTGCCGCGCCACCCTCTTACCCCACCTTGGCCTCATTCTGCTGCAGTAGGAAGGCCTGACACCCTCCCCGGGGAGGATGCTCTTGGCTGTTTGAGGGTGGGACCAGGAAGTGTCCCACTGCACAGTTGCACAGTGTCCTCAGGAGGGAGGACGCAGTGGTCAGGGCAGGCTGGCAACCAGGCTGACATAGAAGCTTGGACCTCAGGAAAGCAGGTGATTGTAAAAGAGTCAGCTGGTCCTAGCGAGTAAGGATTTCCACTGCTGCACACTAAGAGCTAGAGTTGAATCTGTAAAAAGTGCTTTCCTTTCCTCTCAGGCCCCAGTGTATAGTCTCTGAGCCAGTGTTCAGCCACATCAAGAGCTGGGATCTTAAGGGCCACAGAAGGGGGCTGGTTAGTAACATTAGGCTTTGGCAGGTGTTTAAATCTGCAGGTCCTCACAAACGGTGTTGGGTGTACAAATATTGTCCTGTTGGAGGGTTCTTGTATTTAGCTCCTGATCTTTGAAAAACAAAACAAAACAAAACAAAAAAACCAAACAAACCACCTCAAGCAGGATTTCTGCATGCTCAAACATGTTCGCCAGATATTTCCAGGGTTAATATTTGTTTGTTTGTTTAAGATTTAATTTTGTCTTATGTGCATTGGTGTTTGACCTGCATGTGTGTCTCTGTGTGATGATGCTGGATCTCCTAGAATTGGGGCTACAGACTGTTGTGAGCTGACATGTGGGTTCTCAGAATTGAACCTGGGTCTCCAGGAAGAGCAGCCAGTTCTCTTAACTGCCGATCTGTCTGTCCAGCACAAGCTGTGTGTCTGTAAATACATGGAAATACTTATCCAATTCTTAGCATTTCCTACTTAGGCAGCACCAGATGTGTGATGCAGTCAGTCATTTGTGTGGTTATTTGTGCTTTGTTATACAACATGTATGTTAAGTTACAGTTATATCTTTCCCGACTGTAACTGTAAGAGATATGGGTGGTTTTGCCAGTTTTATGAGAATAAGTACCTTGCCTGAGACGAACCCTGAACAGAAGTTACCACTAATGGCAAAATACATTCTAGTTTGTCAGAAAGTAAAATGTGGGCTGGAGAGGTGGCGCAGGTGTTAAGGGCACTGGCTGCTCTTGCAGAGGTCTGATTTCAGCTCACAGCAACCACGTGGTGGCTCCCAACCATCTATAGTGAGAGCTGGTGGGCAGACACACGTGCAGGTAGAGCACTGTATACATAATAAATCTTTTTTTAAAAAAGGAAAGAGAAATGTAAACAGATGACTTTTTATTGAATTGTAAGCAGCAGAGCCTTGATTCTGTTCTACCCCAGCTACACCTGATTTCAGACCTTGTGGGTCCCCATGCCCCCATCACACACAAGTTTTTACTACCTCTAATTTATGAAGGCAAATTAAATCAGGCACAAATGAGTGACAACTGCATGTGGAACTGAAAAGAGGCGGTGATAGTGACAGTGGGTGTTTATTGGCTCCAGTGGCGGAGCTCTCCTTTGTTAGCTAGCGAGGAGCACTTGCGGCCTTTAGAACTGTCTGAGCTGGACCCCTAAACAGTGGACATAGGCACTCTCTCCCTGCTTTGAAAGGTGTATTTTATTTTATGTATATATGTATGTGTGTGTCTGTGTCTGGATTTATGGGCACAAGAGTACAAATGCCTCTGGAGTTCATAAGCTTCCTTGGAGCTGGAGTGAAAGGTGGTTGTTAGCCGGCTGATATGGGTGCTGGAAACAAACGGGTCCTCCGGAAAAGTAGCAAGTATCCTTTTATTTTTTTTTTTTTAGATTTATTTATTTTTATTTATTTAATATGTATTGGTGTTTTGCCTGCCTGTATGTCTATGTAAGGGTGTCAGATCCCTGGAACTGGAGTTACAGTTGTAAGCTACCATGTGTTGGGTGCTGGGAATCTTCTGGAAGAGCAGCCAGTGCTCTTAACTGCTGAGCCATCTCTCCAGGCCTGCAGTAAGCATTCTTAACTGCTGAGTCATTTCTCCAGCTCCTAGATTGGTACTTATTCTAATTTTCAAATGAGAAACAGACACACAGACTAGCGATATACTCTTAGGACAAGGTCACATAGCTAGTCCTAATATAAATTCTGTACCATGATAGTCAGGCTTATTTATAATCAAGACAGACCTGTTTTGGGCTCCAGAAGTGTGTGTTCTGGTGAGGGATGCCAAGTTCCATATGGGCACTAGACTTATGAAGGGCTTTTATGAAGGGACCCCCTAAGGGGGGTAGTGGTGCCTTAACTGAAATGGGAATGCTTGTCTCTCCATCCTAGGAAACGTGCTGCCGAAAATAGTTGCACTTGCCCTACATTACAGACCTCCCTAGTTCCAGGTCTCTCACGCTGGTTAGCATGGAGGAACTGGCTTTATTTATAATTTAGATCTTTCCATTTCCTAGAGCAATTAAGGAATTGCACAGATGTGCCCAAGAGAAGGCTTAGGAGCCTGGCTAAAGATTATCCAAGCTGAGAATCTTTGCATCTCAATTAATTTGAATAAAACTGAACTAAATGACAGAGGTGGACTGAAACTACAGATGAGCAGTTTGAGGATGATAAGACAGTGAAGGACTAGGCTGAGCCTTCCTGCTGGCCGTGAACGGTGCTGCCTGTATTACTGCTTCCCTGGGCCCACAGCGCTCTTCTGCGCCCTGGTGAATGCTGCTCTGTGCCAGGCTCTGTTGGTTCTGCCACAGCCATTTCTGGTTTACTGGCTGCCACTGCCGTCCATCAGCCTAGAGCCTGTAGGCCATTGGCTGCTGGGCTGGATAACCTGTGTACCTTCTGCTGTGACGTCCTGAGTGCTCTGTGCAGAGTTCTCTGTGCATGGGGTCACCGTGCCTCTTGACAGTGTCGGGAAAGCCACTGGAACTTGAGGAGTTCTTCAGTAACCCCTGTGTTTTGTGGTGACCCCCCAGGAGAGGTGGATCTCCTGTGAATTGGTGATAGGACCACAGGCCACTAAGAAGGGCCCTGATTACATGAAGCCTTACCCTCAGGGACGGGGCACACAACGACAGGGGCGCCGCTCTCATCACCTGAGTCTGGCCTCTCAGCACTTCTCCAAACATCTGACTGCATTTTCAGGTGACACTCTTTGTGAACGGGTATGTGGATAGAGGGGAGTAGTCTTCTGCCAATGCTGAAGTGATGCCTTCCTTCCTTCCTTCCCTCCCTCCCTCCCTCCTTCCTTTCTTTTCTGTCCCTCTAGGCCTTCCAAATTGAATCACTAAATGCTTTAGGAATTACGCATTATTTAAACCTGTTTCAGGAGTCAGTGGGTCAGCACTCGCTGAATAAACACCATCTCACGGAGCCGAGCAGGGCAGGGAAAGGCGTCCTGTGGGAGTGCCAGCACTTCCATGCAGTTGCACCTAGGAGCAAGTCCTGCTTAACAACACCTGTCTGGTTTGCCCAGGGAGTAGATGGAAGGAGAATGGCTTCAGATTGGCAGCTCACGGACTGGCAGCTCACTGACCGGCAGTCCTGTTGAGATCCCTGAGTCCGGCAAAGCATGATCGAGAAGGGTGAGGGGAGAGAGTGCAGGCGGCAAGAGTGGCCGTGTTTTAACCAGTGATGTCTTCCCTATTGTCCCCAGATCCCTTGTCCTAGTGAAATTGCTCACTGCACTGAGAGCAAGTTGCCTTCTGAAGTTTTGTAATTTTTTTGGTAGGAAGATGTGTGTTTGTGTGTATATTCACAGTTTGGGGCTCAGTCGCACTCACCATGAGGTTCTTAGCATTTTTAGTCAGTGACTGGCTGGAGGCTGTGGTTGAAGTATATCTGGGAGAGACAACTGGTGATAGTCAAAATCCAGAAAGCAGCCTGGATGCTGACCAACTTTAACAGCTACATAGTGTAAATCTGCACTTAAAAAAAAAGTCTAAAATGGGGACAACTTGGTTTGCCTAAAACTTCTCGAGGTTTGTATTTCAGCGCAAGCCAAAAGTGCAGTGTCAGTGCAAGCAGGAACTCAGCCAGCTGGGGTTAACAGGTGAATGCAGGTTAGTGTCTGATGTGCAGTCATGGCCTTTTGTGCTCCTGGCTGGAGCCTCTGTCTGCATCTGGAGGCTTTGCCCTGCTCTGTTTAAAGAGGAGTGTTGCCCACTTGGCGTGCTTTCAGCGCTAGGGTGCGGACATGATGTTGACCAGAGCCTGCAAGTGCTCCTGCAGGCGGGGTTGGAAGAGCCAGAGTTCTGGAGTCCGCAGAGGTTAAGGGGAAGCAGGGCTGTTGGTTTCCAGCACTCATCTGTGTGCTGAGCAGAAGGAGCTGATCACGTGTGATCCTGAGAACAGTCTTTACAAGAGCGTGGGGCTGCAGTGAGGCCTGAGTTCAGAAGGGTGGCAGGACTCATTCGGGTGTCTCAGAAAAGACATTGGCCACGGCTGGGTGAGCAGCATGACCCGTGTTACTGTCAGCACTCAAGAGGTGGATATGGGAGGCCGTGAGTCCAGAGCCAGTCTGTAGAACAAGACCCCAACTAAAGCAAACAGAACCAACCAGCCGACCCTCCTGGAAAATGCTTGATCTTGATCCTCGCCCTGGCCCTGGACTCCTCAATGGTGAGGGTTTATGATTCTGGAGCTGTTCTGCCCGCTGTCCTTTCAGGATGTCAGAAGAGTGGCCCACGGGCTCTTCCAAAGCTTCACACACCATAGAAAGGAGGGACTGGTGAAGAGGCCCTGTCTTACTCCTGCGGGGCTGGTGAAGAGGCCCTGTCTTACTCCTGCGGGACTGGTGAAGAGGCCCTGTCTTACTCCTGTGGGGCTGTGCAGTCTTTACTCCTCTATTTGCTTTGATTTTACTTGAGTGGATTAAATAGCAGTGATATTATATGCAAAAATACTGCTTCAGTTTTTGGGGTTTTTTTCTTTTTCTTTTTTTTTTTTTTTTTGATGTGAAAGCTGAGCCTTGCTTGGCAGATATTTTCCTTTTTGTTTTGGAGGAAACCATAAATCAGGATTGAAGGTAAAAGTTATTTTGACTCAGCTCTTCCTCTTTCTCTGCAGAGGAACAGTTTCCTGGCTCTGAGGTAGCTCCGGGGTTGCTGATCCAGAGTTCTCCTCTGTTAGCAAGCTCGACTTTCCACGACTCGAGTGTTCTTAAGAATTGGGGGAGGAAGAGCCCCACTTTACGGCATTTTTCTGCTCAGATTGGCAAGCGTATTTCTGTTTTAAAGCTACCCTTTACATGAAGTTGTAGGTGGGCTCTTATACTAGGCTACATTTTATGTGTGTGTAAATGTGTACTGACACTGACGTATGTATGAAAAGCAGGTACTTGTCAGTGTTAGGCTTAGAGTCTGGATCTTATTTGTGAAGCTTAAGTTGAATTATGAATAATGAATACAGAATATTCTGGAATTAGCAGCTGGGTTAGTGACTAAAGCTGCGTCCTGAAGACGTCTGTTGCTACTGGGATGAAGTATTTACTTGGCATAATGTAATGGTTTTGAGTAATCCTTTGTGGTTGATAGGCTAAGTTTAAGATCTGCTCAGGAAACGAAACCTTTAACACAGGCTTTTAATTTCTCACACCGTAACTGTAAATTAATTTCTAACACACATGTAAACGGCTAACAGTATTTTCTTTAGCCACTCAAAGGAGAAGCGTCCATTCTGTGTATGTTAAGGAGATGTGTCAATATTTTACAAAACAAGTACTGTTAAACTTGGTGCTTAGAGCATTGTTTCCACTCTGCCAATGATAATATTTGCTGGCACAGAATGGAAAAACTGGTTTTGCAGTATCACTAGACAGCCACTGCCACAGTAATAGCCAGAAAGGGATGAGAGACCAAATCCCAGCTGCATAGATTTTGTTTTAAAGCCTTGGTAGGTAATTAGGTTATGGAATTGAAAGTGGAAATTTTTTTTGTTTTTCTTTTTTGTTTTTCAAGAGAGGGTTTCTCCCTGTGGCCTTGGCTGTCCTGGACTCACTCTGTAGACCAGGTTGGCCTCAAACTCACAGAGATCCACCTGCCTGTCTCTCTGACTGTTGGGATCATAGGTGTGCGCTACTGGCCCAGGGCTGCAAATCCTTGGGTTTATTATTTCTTGTTCTGCGGTGCGTTGTCCTTCCTTCCTGAGGTCAGGGAGACTGATACAGCTCCGACTACTGACCCTGGGCTGGGAAGGAGAGAATGTGCTGAATGACAGAGTGACCCAACAGACCGCCTCACTTTATGCGTTAGTTTTCAAGCAAGATTTCTTAGAATGATGCAGAGTGCATACATTTGCTGGGATGAGGGAAGGACTGTGAATCAGAACTCAGTGGTGAGTATCCGCCTTATCCAACCCAATCCGTGTCCTCTTGTGGGGCTTACTGTATACCTCAGTGGCTTGGATTTTATTTCTTTAGTTTTGAAAACTGAAATTGTGTTGAGTTCTCTTCTGTGAAAATCCCTCATGACTGGCTTCATATTTATTTAGGAAAAAATGAATCTTTTCGTTGCTTCATTTATTTATTTATTTATTTATTTATTTTATTTATTTTTTTTTTTTTGAGGCAAGGTTTCTCAAAGTAGCCCTGGCTTGCTCTGTAGACAGGCTGGCTTTGAACTCAGAGATCTGCCTATCTCTGCCTCCCAAGTGCTGATATTACAGGTGTGCACCACCGTAACCCGGTGTTTGATTTATTTTTAAATTAATGAGTAAATGATAAACTTCTTTTCTCCTATAGATCTTCTTTTTTGTATGAAATTGAGAGTTTGGGGAATAACACCATAGTGATCTTAGTGTTTGCGTTGACAGAGGGAAGGGGTGATCTGAAGAGTTAACAGCAAGTCTGACAGACGCAGGGCTGGAAGATGGTATTTTTCACGGATGCTCACTGGGCAGGTCACATCTACTGTTCTAAAAGTTTGCCTTTTGCCAGGAGGTTGTGGCACACACCTGTAATCCCAGCACTCTGGAGGCAGGGGCAGGTGGATCTCTGTGAGTTCAAGGCCATACAGGGAAACCCTGTCTCAAAGAAAACAACACCAACCACAAACAACTCCGTCTGCCTTCTGTGTATTGTATGAGTGCTGCTTTTGCCTCTTAGCTAGTAGGGAAGTGGCAGCCGTGTAGGCGTCATGCGCTTCGCCTACTAAGTACTCGGCACGTTCCTGGAGAGTTTGTACTGGAAATGAGAGATTCAGACTTAATGGGCACAAACATACGATTATTGGAACATGAGCTGCCTTCTGTGATCCTGGGAGAATTCCCACTGTCCGGGAGTTCTAAGTGGAGCCTCTGACTGTCTTGAGTGTGAGCTGAGTTATTTGCATGTGTAAGCGCTTTGTTAGCATGCTCATGCTGTTCCTCACACTTTGTGATCTTCCTCAGATCTGTGCTTTTCTGAAAGTGTTTGGTTCTCAGAAAGTGCTATTTTAAAATAAGGCTGGTCAGACCATATGCGCAGAAATGGATAGAGCTACTCTTCTCTCCTCTTCCCAGGGGACAACAATATAGGAAGTTGGTTTACGTGTGTGTGAACACTTATGTGTGTGAGGCTGGAGATTGATGGATGTGTTCCTCAATCACTCTCCACTTTTTTTTTATATATACAGGGTCTCTTACTGAACCTGGGGCTCATCATTTTGGCAAGCCCCAGGGTTCCTCATTTGCCCCTTTCTGGGTCTGAGATTACAGGTTCACGCTGCTGTCCTGGATTTATGTAGGTGCAGTGGATCTGATCCTTATGATGATACAGTAAACACTGCAGAGCAATCTCTTCAGCTCTACTTATAATGTTTTTTAACTATTACCAAATATGTACAAAAAGATCATCGATGGCAAATTCTGATAATTATAACAGCTTAATTTCTTGATTAAACAAACACACCTCTTAGCTGAGATTTTCTCCTGTTTCCTGAGGCCTGAGGGGTGTGCTGGCCTAGGAGGGAGAAGTGAACGGAGTAACACGGGCAGAGCCCTCTGCTGTCTTACAGCTGGACTGTAGGGATACCTGTGGTATTAGAAAGCCTAATTATAGGTATGCCTCATGGTGTAATTATATGCTTCTCCTTCCAGACATGAAAATTAAATAGTGAAGTTTCTATACACATACATAGCATCAGTGTGAAGAAACCTGCTATTTCCCAACATGAAAAATAAGTGTAAG